CCCCCCAAAAAAAAAAAAAATAGTATTGGTAATTACCCTAAACCCTAAACCCTAAACCCTAAACCCTAAACCCTAAACCCATTATTTAGGCCCCTACATTACCCTGAAGCAGCCTGGAGTCTTAGAGCCCCCCCAGGGCTGGGCTCTCGTGGTTACGAGGGGATAGTTCACCACTCAAACGGGTAAGCTACGGTGTGGTTTAGGATTACTTTTAGGATCTATAGGGTATTTAGAGTTTTAGTATCCGGCTGAAGATTTCAGAGGGGGGTGTCCCTTTTGAGACGATAGCACTTGCCGCAGATAGTTGTCGTAGCATCAGTTTCTGCCCAGAAACAACTCCATATAAACCTGAAACAGCTGCATGTGTTCATGACCCCAGCCCGGCCCAGATCTTGCTTCAGGGCAGATGGATTGGCAGAGGCGCCGAAGCAACCACAAGACGTATTTAGGCCCTAACCCCCCAGGTACTTACTATATAGGATACTAGAGCCCCTAAAACCCTATAGAGTAGGTATCTGGAGGGTCAGGGTATGTCGAAGAGAATGAAGTCAAAATCCGTACAGTCACACAGCTTACTGTACAAGGCTTCGGTTTTGCTGTCTCCGAGGATTCACTACGCCGACCGGGTGGGGGAGAATTACTTCGCCGTGTCCTCGCCAGAGCACAGGTGGTCGTGTCCCCAGCTGCTTCTTGAGTCCAGTTGCCTAAGAAGTACGTGGGTTGCTGAGATATGGTTTCTAATAGGGCTAAGAAACAGCAACCCACTCTTTTGGTCACTGGGGTGTGACATGTCTGCGCTCTACGCCCGATGCACCACACCCTACGCCCTCAACCCCGCAATCCATGAGCACGTTACGCGGAAGCCTCACCCCCTAAACCCTAGACTCCGAACCCTAAACCCTAAACCCCAATTTCCTCCCCGAAAGCTGCACGGCCACTGACTCGATACCCCTTAGTTAAGCCGGCGTATGCCAGCGACCGAAAGCCACCAAGAGCATACAGAAGCCTCATTAGTTACCGATACCATTCCGTGGGGTTCCTTACTGTCTCTAGAGTATAATGACAGTGTGACATACACCAAAACCGTCCCTTTCAAGTACCCATATTGCAGACAGCAGTGTTTCCGTGTTCCTGAGATGGTTTTCGGGGTGTGTGTGTATATATATATATATATGTAAACGCGCGCGTGTGTGTGTGTGTATATATATATATATATTTATTTATTTATTTATTTCTTGATTCACTAATTTATTTTTAATCTATAATTATACATATATATATATATATCGAAAGCACTTATACAGCTGTTACGGCTGAACATTCTGATGGTTATGCTTGTCATTCTGATGACACGTAGAAACCAATGGGACCAGGTACTACTACCCCGACATGAGAAAAGACGAGGCTGGGGGATTGATGGGTCATCCGTGTGGGGAAGCAGTTTCGGGTTTCAGATGTAGGGTCTGAGACTTAGGGTTTAAGTCGTTTAGGGTTTAGGGTTTAGGGTTTAGGGTTTAGGGTTTAGGGTTTAGGGTTTAGGGTTTAGGGTTTAGGGTTTAGGCCTTGCAAGAATCCTGCCTTCATGGACACTTCATCCTTGTCAGTGGCG